AAATAAAATGACTTCTGTCTTGACTTTCACACTGATGCACCTAAGGACTGTAGGGTTGATATTTGAGTCACTTCAGGCTGGAGGCTGTGATTTTTCACTGCACCAGTTATGCTTCCAAACATTCCTTCAGTTTTTATCTCGGTGATTGGAAAGTTTGAATGGTTCTCACAGCAGGGACACGGAGGAAAGATTTATTTTTACTGTCCTGTAGGAGTGAGGCTGAAGAAGGGGACAAGTCTTCTGAGGACACGGGGAAAAAACAGTAAGTCTGTCTGTCTGTCCGTCCGTCTGTCTGTCTGCATGGATCCCCATCATCAGTCTGTGTGGGAACACTGAGAGTTCAGCACATGGTTAGCAGATCAGTGACTTCGACGCCTCCTACTTGGACTCTTCACCAAAGGAAGGACTGACCTGCTCAGAGTCCTGACTTAAACCATGAAATATCTGTTGAATAAACTGAACACTTGGTCCATGTGAGTCATGGGGATGGGGGGTGGGGGGGCTGACAGCAGTCATCGGGTGAGGTGTTCATACCATGGAAACTGTGTGAGGAAGCTGGAGCACTGGGAGAAGTCAACACACTGAACCCGCCTTCTTCTTACTGTAAGGCAGTACTTCTCAAACTGGTGGGGCGGGCCCCCTGGTGGGCCGTGGTGATGGTGGCGTGAGGGGCTTCCAATGGAATATGGCATGCTGGACATAAGTGTACCACCGCTGTAATGCATGAATGATAACAAGCCTCCAGCCACTAGGTGGCAGCAACTCATACAGTGGTTTGTACAGATAAAAATATACACGTTATCAGGTTCTCAGTAGTATTTCAATTCGCGGGGGTGAGGGAAATGTGAAAAAAATTTCTGTCCCCAAGCAGTTCTCAGTAGTATTTCAATTCGCGGGGTGTGGGAAATGTGAAAAAATTTCTGTCCCCAAGCGCGGGCATGACAGAAAATAACTGAGAACCACTGCTGTAAGGCAAAGGCTCTGACCACATCCTCCACTGCGTGGCCCATTAAGTTAAGTTTTTTTCTCAGGGACCAGGTCTCAGGGACCAGGTCTCGGGGACAAAGTCTCGGGGACCAGGTCTGACTTCAGTGCTGTCCTCTCTGGTGTTGTACAGTCACGTGAGTTTGAAAACAGCCAGATTCTCGTGGACATCATAAAAACGCTCCGTCCAGGGAGTGTTCACGTTATAAAAACACATGTTTCCATTTTGTGGCAAAATGAAGCCATAAAATTTGAAGTGTTTGGTTTGAATCTGTGACTCAGGAACAAAACGACTAACATCACGTACAGGAGCCAAGACCGGGACGGGAGGAGACCGAGGAAGAGTCCAAGTACTACATGTACGTGTGTATTCACACT